AGAGGCCGGGCTGACAGGGGGCAGAGGCCGGGTTGACAGGGGGCAGAGGCCGGGCTGGCAGGGGGCAGAGGCCGGGCTGGCAGGGGGCAGAGGCCGGGCTGGCAGGGGCAGAGGCCGGGTTGACAACAGTCCCATGCCACTTCTCACACTGCTTTGGAACATGCACATTCCATAGGTATCTGTCTGGGAACCTGAGATAGAAATGGGCTTGTGGGAGTAAAAGTATTTAAGGTTAAAAGAATTTGGCATTTGAACACTAATAATTATCAGGTTAATTGTTCTGGACACTAACAATTAGCAGGTTAAATTCACTCATTTTGCAGAGATTTAACTAACCAGGATTCTCAGTGGCAAAACCAAGCCAAGAACTCAGTTCTCCAGCTTCCAAGTTCACGATTCTTTTCTATCCTCTAATGGCTTTACCTTGTCGTTGTTTTTTTAACTTCAAGGCACTTTCTTAAAAATATCATTTCTTCCTCTTATATTTCACACTCAGAACGTATTGCAGAGGTTAAGTACACTGAACTTGGCTCTACTGTCAATGTTTCAAGGATTCCGACAGCTTTATTGACTAGATTTCTATAATGATAGGGGATGCATTTGTCCAGGAGAAGCTACAGGTAGAGAAAATAATCCCTAAACTCTCTTTTTTCATGACGGAATGTGCAAAGCCCAGACAGGACTGAGAAGGGGAAAGGCTCCTGGGCCTAATGGAATGCTGACTGAGATCTATTGATTCTGATGCAGCACATTCATTGGCCATCTAACTCCACACTCTGTAACGTCTAGCCGAAAGAAAAGGTATGGGAACAGATAAAAGATGTCAGGAATGTCACCAGCTGTGATCACAGGTTTCCAAAAGGGATTGTGACAGTCAGTGAAGCATCTCTTTAACGTTAGTCCCCAGGAATACACTGTCAAGCATTTTTCTCTGTAAGATCCAGATGGCATCTCAGATATTTTCCCTTTAGAGTCGCATGCAGTTTTAGTATCTAGGTTCGTTTAGATGTTTACATATTGTGAATCACTTACATTGCTATTAGGTGTTGTCAGCTGAAGAAAAGAAAAGAAATAGAGACTTTTAGAAAGTCCTTTACCATGATAAGGCTTTATTCCATCAGTCATTCAGACTTCCGACTCTGTAAGGGGCTGGATAGATAAAATTTAAAAAAAATAAAAGAGCAGCAGCATGATGTAGGGTCTACGCACACGAACTCCAACTAGGTTTTCCCCGTTCGAGCCCTCATGCTAGCATTAAATGGCAGTATCTTTGGGAAAGCCAACTTACTTGTCCCTCAGTTTCTTAAACTGTATTATAGGGATAATTAATAGTATCTATCTCACAGGATGAAACCAATTTGTATCTTTTAAATGTATAGAACAGTGCCTGGCCCCTAGTAAGTGATATAAAATGTTGTTAATAAATCAGTAATAATAACTTACACCCAGGCAGCTGGATTAACCCGGAGGCACATCAGACTTCCTCACTATTTTGATGCTTCCGGGCAGACAGGATCACAGGATGAACTGATTCAGACTGCCACCAGGTAAAAAGATAAGAACAGGATATTTGGTTTGTCAAATCCAAAAAAGGTGTTTTAATATTAATAGGAAGGTCTTTACATCCCACTAATCTCAAGTAAAACTGAAAACCAAACACCGATTCATTTCTTATGTTTAAAAACCTAAAATATGAGAACAATCAATCTCCTTTATTAGTAGAGATAGTTAACCTCAGATCAGCTAACCTCTGCCACTCAGCAGGCTCCCCCTCCACCCGTTATTGTGTATTCAGGGAGTGCAACCCAATTAACCTGAGCAAACAAGAATAAAAAGATAAATCTCACAAAGGGGGAAAATCATACAGTGCACTCCCAAAATTGCTCTCTTTGCAAACTGTAATCTTTATTGATTCTCTCATTCTCTTCTTTCTTATTCAGAGTGGCTAATAAAAACTTGACCATATACAATTTTCCCATAAAGCTAAATGTCCCTGAAGGATGTGAGAAATAAAAGGAGGTAATATGACTACATTAAAATAGCAGTCAGAATAAGGTACGACAGAAACAGAATAAATAAGAAATGTTATGAGGAATGAAAAAGAATTCAAGATTAAAACGAAAACTACTTACCCACCTAGAAGGGGGACAAATAACTACAATCAGGAACAACTACATAATTTGTGGGGACCTCTACAAAGTGAACAGACAGAGGTTCTTGTTCAAAATGTATTAAAAAAATTAAGACGGAAGAGCAGAGCACTAAGCCAAGTGCAGCGTCCTTCTAAGCCTGGGACTCAATGTACCCGCATAGGTCATGTGCCCATGAGCCTGCCTCGATATGAAGACCCGAGCTTATAAGTGTTATAAAATGAGAAAAGATACAGGTAAGGACATCAATTCAGATGACCGTCTACATACATTTAAGGCATGAGAAAGGGAAACAGATTAAGTGAATGTCAGAGACTAGAGGGAAAAGACTGGGAAATCAAGATGAAAAAGTGAACAGATAAGGAAGGCCAAAGTGAAAAGGCAAACCTACGTCAACTCCACCTGCAAAAGGCATGACAGCAAGGTGGAGCAGCAGAAGCAGGTCCATACCTGACCCTCCAAACCAAGCAGCCAGCAAGTGAGCACCATGTGCTTTCATGCCAGGGAAATGACACCTCCAGTTACCCAAGGAGCCTCATTAGAAGCAGCGGAAGAGGGCCTGCGAAAAGGGCAATGACTAAGTGTTACATAAAAGTTCTTTCAAAGTCCTTTGAGTAGGAAAACATCTAAATGTGGGTCAACCTTTTTTTTTTTAGAATAAAGAGAATGTCTGACAATTGAAACATACTATCATAACTAGCTTTTCAAATGATAGAATAGAGAGGGCACTTGAACACGAACAGACAAAATGATTCACTATGTCACACAAAACTCAGGCGTTAGCTAGCTGTTATACATGATGGCTAAAAAGGATTGCCGGCCACTATATGCCAAGAGGAACAAAGAACATATTCACAAAGTAGTTGGTTCATGTTTTTGTTGTGAACTATAATCAAGATAATCAACTGCTAGTTGAAGTGCATGCTTCGATGTTTAAAAAACATCCAGTGTACACATGTGCATTGAATGAGTTGAGGCATTCAAGTCTACTACCCTGAAAAATTACTCTTGTATCCCAATCAAGCTGCAATTGCTCAAAACATTTTTAGGCCTGTTCTTTCTTCATGGAAAATTTTTAACTTGCAAGTGTTTGGAGCTGTTTGGTTATTTAAAAATTTAAATCTGCAGAGTAAGCTGGATCAAAAATTATAAAATTAAGGAAGTATTTTTCAGCTGGGTGCAGTGGCTCACACCTGTAATCCCAGCACTTGGGGAGGCTGAGGTAGGCAGATCATGAGGTCAGGAGATTGAGACCATCTCAGCCAACATGGTGAAACCCTGTCTCTACTAAAAATACAAAAATTAGCTGGGCATGCTGGCATATGCCTATAGCCCCAGCTACTCAGGAGGATGACGCAGGAGAATCACTTGAACCCAGGAGGCAGAGGTTGCAGTGAGCCAAGGTCATGCCACTGCACTCCAGCCTGGCGATAGAGCAAGACTCGATCAAAAGAAAAAAAGAGACAGAGACAGAGACAGAGACAGAGAGAGAGAGAGAGAGAAATTTGGAGAGAAAGAAGGAAAGAAAGAGAAAGAAAGAAAGAAGAAAGAAAAAGAAAGAAAGAAAGAAAGAAAGAAAGAAAGAAAGAAAGAAAGAAGAAAAAGAAAGAAGGAAAGAAAAGAAAGAAGAAGGAAAGAAAGAAAAAGAAAAGAAAAGAAAGAAAGGAGGGAAGGAGAGAAGGAGGGAGGGAGGGAAGGAAGGGAAGGAAGAGTTTTTGTGATTCAAACCAGTTCTGAAGCTGAGATTTAAAAATGGAGAATTCACAAAACGTTTAAAAGTGAAGACAGGATTATGGAGTGAGTACATGGACTGTCTTGCTCAACAGTCTCATAAATATATAGGTCTAAGAAATCAGAGAAACTTGGAGCTGTAAATAAACTTAAAGGCTGTATAACCTCTCTATAGCTTCCTATGAAGTGGATGAGGAAACGGAGGGCCCCATAGGTGGAGATTTGCCTGAGGCCACACACCTGCTTCAAGGAGAGGCGGGACCAGAAAACAGTTCACACTCTCTCCCATCCAGGAGTCTTTCCACACCACGGGAAACATCTGCCAAAACCGTGTGACCTTCCAGAAAGTCACTGAGAACCACAGGTATCATCTACAAACATGCCGAATCGTTGCCATTTCTGAAAGGCAAGTCAGTCAGTCCTGGTTGTCATGGCAATAACTCTTCACACTCACAGCCTGATGATTACAAATGTAAAAATGCAGCCACCCCAGACAGGAATAAACCTTATTAAAATGACGTTCTAAAAATGGCACCGCTTACCTGGTTTGCCCATTCTGAGTTGCAGAATCTTGACTGCAATTGTCGTGTAAGCTCAGTTCAGTCCAGACATCTATATTTAATAGCATCCAGAGATATTCTTTGTCCTGGGACTTTAGGAGGAAGAAAAAACAAAGGTGGTTGAGCATAACAACCAACATTAGGAAACTGAAATCTAAAAGGTTATTGTACATGCGTTAGCATAATTACACACAAAAAAACTATAAATAAACAGTGATGTTCTAATACTAAATCTACTCGCTAGGAATTAGTGAAGCCTGGAGCCCCTTGCCTCTGCTTTCTTCTTTCTCTTAGTGCCCATTTTTCCCTGATGATGCTGTTCTTTTCCCAGATGTGTGTTGTCGTGGCTGATTTTTGTATGACAGCACTAATCCAACGTCTGTGCCTACAACCTCTCAGAATTCAAATCCAAAATAACAGAGTCTGAGTCCACTGTTTCCTAAGGAGATGTTTTGCCCTCTACACTGCACTATGAGAAAAGCAATGCCTACCACCAGCGACTAAAATGTGTTTTCTGTTCTAACTGGAAAGTTTCATTCTCTAAGTTTCTACCCAGCTCCCGTCAGTGACAAGAGAAATTTCCAAGTCTAGTCCAAGCTAAAAACTGATCCCCCACAGAACAGGAGCAGGAATCTAACGAGACTCCTTAAGCAAATGCTGCAACCTAAGATTTAATCATGCAAACATTCCAAAATACACACGAGTGATAGTTCAAAAATTTCAAACGTTGACTCAATGCTGTGTCGCGGGGTGGTTTTTACATACATTTTCTCAGGGCACGTCAGTGTCTGGTAGCTGGGAGTGCCTCTTGTGTTCTGCGTAATCACACCAGCACTCAGAATGGAACACCTGACTACTCTCTGAAGTCCAGGTTTTTCAAAACATTCAGTATCGACAGGAGTGACATACTGTTACCTTTCCCAAGTAACCCTTTCCTACCCCCCCTTCACCTATTCACCGTGCCTTCTGAAACGTCAGGTCTGTGACCAACGAACCTATTCATGTTTTCACCTTTTCTTTAAATGACCCTTTGCGCTGTGCTTATCCACAAGTGTTCTCTGCAGTTGTCTCAGGGGCAGAAGAGGAGGCGGTGTTCTTTTTGACCCACACAGCTGCTTCTAAACAGTTGATTTCTCCAAAAGCTTTCAAAACCCACAGCTCCTCGGAAGCTCGGCCGTCCTGCTGTGCTGCCCACCTTCCTGTGCTCCCCTCTGTGGACTTCATTCATACAGCCCTCCCATCTACTGAAGACGCTGCTGACTCCCTGCATTTCCTCCACTCCGACACCATTCATCATTCCTTCAGACTTCATTCAGCAACCGCGTGATGACTCATCGGATGCCTCGGTTCACCAGGTCTTCTATTTCACCTCCAATAGCTCGCTTCCACTTTAGTCAGTCATTCGTGTTGTTGCAACTGACACCTCGTAAATGTCAGCAAATGCGTCACCACCAAAATTTCTGTTTGAAACCTACCACTTTGATCCTCCTCTTGCTCTGGCTCACTCTAGAATGTTCACTAATTCTACTCCACTCTAACCTTCAGCCATGCTCACTACCTTCTCATTCCCAGCCTGTTCATTTTCCTTCTTCACGCTTTACGCCACGATCCGTGACCACCATCGTTCCCTCGGAAGTACCCTCAACTTCTCTGTCATATTTCATTCCATTGTACTTAGCTGGGAACCCTTTTTTGTTCCCTTCCTCTTCTCTGCCCACCACTCAGCAGCTAAATCTAAAACATATCACACATTGGCTTCCTGGCTTCACCATAACTTCATGATAACAGACCTAGAATGATCAATCGCCAATCGCCAGCAACGTTAAAATTTTTCCCAAGTAAGTTCATTTTTGTCCTTCCAGGATGACCTTCCTTACTCCTTAGACCTCCTCTCTATCTCTCAGATGAGGATGTTGCCTCAGAGTCATTGAAAAAATAGGAACTGCTAGATTAGGACCCCTTGGTAGCGCAAATCAACTCCACAAATGTTTCCAGTTTGCAGTTCTAAGTGTCTTCACACCCGTCAAAAGAAATCGTTTCCACAGGTGCTTTTGCGCCAACCCTCTCTCCTCACTTTCTCAAGAATTTCACAGCTTCAGTTGCCTCCCCATGCCCTTCAATCCACCCATCCTCTCTGTCACATCATTTCTGCATATATTTTCACTATCTCCCACACATTTTCACATTTATTTTCACTGTCTCCCATACAGTTTCACTATCTCTCATCTTAAAAAAAAACAAAAACTCTCTTAACCTCCTAGTCCCCCATCCAGCAAACACTTTCCTTTTCTCCTTCTTTCCTCAACAAAGCTCCCTGAATGAATCGTCCTCATCTGCTAGCTCTACTTCCTTATTTTCAAGTCACTTTTCAAACTTTTCAATCTATCAAGGTTTCAACAAGCTTTTGTGGACAATTCTATGATCGCTTTTTTGTTATTGCACGTATTTCTTCAGCAGCACCGTTGGGTGGTCACATTCATTCCTGCACTTTTAAATATCATCTATGATAACGACCTTCAAATTTATACCTAGATCAAAGTCCAAACTGCACCAGCGCCTACTTGCAAACTCCTCTTGAATGTGTAATGGGCATCTCATAAAACAAAAAAACATAGCTCTTCCCCCAAGACTTTCCCAGCTCAGGAAACAGAACCACAGTCCACTGAATTATTCCAGCCAAAATCAATGACTCTTTTCCCCCATTCTTTCTAAGCCATCAACAAGTCCTGCACATCCGAAATGCAACTCAGGTGCCTTCACTGCTCTCCATCTGTACAGCCAGCATGTTCCAGGCAGAGTCTCTGAACTGGTTTTCTGTTTCACGGCACTCCCACAATGCCAATTACTCATTCTCCATGAAATAGCCAGACACTTAAAAAGATAAGTTAGATTATACTGTCCCTTGCTTAAAATCCTTCAGTGTTATCCTGTGTCTCTCAGAATAAAACCAACTTTCTTTTTTTTTGAGACGGAGTTTCGCTCTTGTTACCCAGGCTGGAGTGCAATGGCGCGATCTCGGCTCACCGCAACCTCCGCCTCCTGGGTTCAGGCAATTCTCCTGCCTCAG